GTACCACTTCCAAGTTCAATAGAGACACCGACAAATGTAAAAAAAATAGACAGTTTGAGGGCAAGGCCTTCATCTTACATCCCCCTGAACTCTCTTGCCCAGTGCTGGGAAAAGCTGAGTTCTGGAATGTGGGCAGGAGTGAGGCAGAGAGGGCAATGGGTGGAGGATTAGGAAGCCATTTCGGGTGATCGCTGTGGGGTCACTTTCTCTCTGGGGATCTGTTTCCTCAGCTAACTACATGAAGATTCATTTTAGATAACTTCTTAGAATAACTAATATTCTAATTAAAACACCGTGATTCACACCAAACCTGTTTATAGCATATTGCGGATCACAAACAGCATTTAAAATATAAAATATACAAATTAGTGGCCAGATGGAGCAGACTGAGTGGATGTTTAAATTTTGAAGGCTTTTGTTTGGGGGAAAAAAAAAAACACACCATGAATTTTGCATTTGATTCCCTTTACCTGCAAGAAAATGCTGAATACTCTCTGAGGAAATATGTTGGAACAGGCCGCATTCAATGGGAATCACATTAGGTTGATCCGGGTTCAGTCTGTCCTGTGTCCGCACCCACCCTTCAGAAGCAGCTTTTCCTCTCCTTGGGCCCATTCACACATGTTTCTCTGTGGGCCCTGGAGTCGGCTGGGTCTTGTGTAAAATCCTAGCTGCACCACTTACCTGGGACCTTATGGTAATTTCTTTCTAACTGCAGTCCTCCCCTGTAAATGGGGAAAAATGCTAAGCGTGCGTGGTGGGAAGTCATGAGGATTGTGTGGCAACATCTGTCAAGGGCTCAGGGCGGTGGCCGACGTGGGGTAGGTGTGGTCCGGGGTTGCTGTCTCTGTAACTCATGATTATCAGCTTCTTCCCCTGCTGGTCCTCCCACCTGGAGCCCTGGGTCCCGGGGCAGGTACTCCCACTTAACCCTCCTCACCCCCATTTACCCGGGCTCCCCTCCTCATGGTCCCAGTTGCCCTGCAGAGTCTGCTGGCCTTCTGTCCAGCAAGCTCCTGGGAGAAAAAACTGCATTAGTGCGAATCCCTAGCACCCAGCCCAGTGTCTAGTGTGCCATGGGGAGCCCAACACCTGCTTCATGGACTGAGCCGGACCTCACATCAGATGAGGGACACATGAAAAGGGAAACTATTTCTGGCCCATCTGCTCCTGATGTAGCGTCGGCAGAATGGAAGCTCCTAAACCCTAAACACCAAGAAGAGAAAGAAACCGGAGGGAGAACCTTGGATGGCGCCCAGAGCGTAAGGAGCCCATGGGGCTGTCCCAGGAAGTGGGAGGGTTTGAATTTCAAGGATGATGAGAGAGGTGGGCAGGGCTGGATGTTACAGGGTCCTGGAAGTCTTTCTAAGGAGCCTGGCTTTATCCCAAGAGCAGAAAAAGACGGAATGGAAGCGAAGGAGTGATGTATTCAGCTTTCTAGTATTTCTGGCGGCTGTATGGAGAGTGAATTGGAGTGGGGCCACCTGGAAGCCGGGAGCCTGTCTAGGAAGCTGTCCCAGTGGGGGTGGCCTGGACTGGGGGATGCAGGCAGAGGAGAGGAAGATGGAGCAGAGAATACCAGTTCTGGATTTCCAGGTGTTTTTAATCTGTGGAGTAGGTCAGGTTGACATTGCTTTGGTTTACACATCAGAGTGAGAGATGGGGCAGTGACCCCCCCAAGTGGTCCCCAAGTCTGGCCTTCCCATCTCCTTTATACATCCCCGCAGAAGGCTGTGTGATGCGAGAGGCTGAGTGAATGGTGTCAAGGACAGTCACTTCTACAACGGCCCCTCCCATACGAGTGCATTCTCTCATCAAGGGGCTCCTGTCTTCACAGAGGTCTGGAACTAAGTAGGGCACGGACTAGTGTCCCCATTTTTGCCCTCATTTTCTGATACCCAAGGGCTCCCCCTTCCCATCATGTGGTCGTCTTCCTGCTGGGGATCTCCGCTGCCAGCTGCTGTACGCTTGCTTCCTTCACCCACTGGACCAGGAAGAGAGGCTGGAGCCGGTGGTCCCCACCTCGGGGTGGGTATGTGAATACCTGCCAAGGTTTATGGGCTCCCTGCATCCCAGGGCTGGAAGGAGGCTTAGTGTTCCCTGGTTAAATGTTCCTCCAGATACCGGAGCCCCCTCTGAGGTCCCCCATCTGCAGTGCAGTGAGCTCTCCACTTCCTCCAAGATGTCCCGATGCCTCGGCCAGGCCCCCCTGTACCCTGGGCTGGGGAATGGCCATGCAGAGGAGAGAGGAAGACCCAGCAGAGAAAGCCAGTTCTGAATGTCCAGGTGTTTTCTGACTTTCTCTGACTCTCCACAGCTACAGTCATTCTGTGAGCCAGTGTGCCATTCTGTCTGGATTACAGTTTACTGTTTCACCCGCTCAGATGTGAGGCCCTTGAGGACAAGGATGCCTGTGTTGTATTCCTTCAACATCCCACAAAGTCTTGAACACAGTGCCTGGCATATAATAGGTGCTTGGCAATGAGTAAAGAGAATGAATGGGCAGGTGAGGGACCGAGAGCGTGGTCAGCTCTTTACCCTCAGCTGGAACACCCCCTGCTAACCACCTCCTTCCGAGCTGAAGTCATTGACCCTGAAGAGAGAGTGGCTCCTCACGTGGCCTGCTTTCTGTTCTTCAAATATGCCAACCTGTCCCTGCCAAGCCTGTTCCTACCTTAAGCCTTTCACACGTCTGTCCCTTCTGCCTCGGACATTTGGCATGCATTTCTTTCTATGGTTGGATTTTCCCTCTCATTTGGGTCTTAATTCAAATATCACCTCCTCAGAAAGACCATTTCTAACCACTCAGTATAGAATGACCTCCCCTGATCCTTCACCTCTTATCTCTCTGGGCTGAATCCTAAGTAATTTCTTCAGATCTCTCTTCTAGTCCACAAAAATCTCTCTTTATCTGTGTCCGGTCTACCATTTAACCTGCCCATTGAAGTTTTATATCAGTTACTATATTTTTTATTTATAGAATGTATGTGACTATTACAGACATTCTTATTTTAAAGTCCTTTTTAGAATCCCTCTTACATGTAATCCTCCCCTGGTGATTTCTCCCATTTAGGGTACCTGCTGACCACCTCTCAGGAGTTGAGTATCTTTGTGTTTTTATAATTTTTTAAAATGTAACTTTATCAGGAATTATCATCTGTGACTAACCCACATGGGCTATGGCAGGAATGCTATGCTGTCCATTAATCCTGGCAGAGTTGTCACATTAATTTCTTGATGAATGCAAGATAAATCCAAGGATTTGGGCATCAACCTCATGCCTGATATAAGCAAGACAGGACGAGTTCTTGTGTTTGGTATCTCTCATTTGATTCCAGTAAGTATTCTGCTTTGTCTTCAGGCTGAAGCATTGCCCAGGAAGGCAGTGCCCAGATGCCAGGTACTTCATTATGAGTTTAGTGTATAAGAATCACCTGGCTTAATGTTTGAGCATTAACTCATTGATAACACAGATTTCTGAGATCTACCTCCTGGATACTGATTCCACAAGTCTGGGATTGAGTCTAGGAATCGGAATTCTTAAAAGTTCTCCATGATTTTGATGTATAGTAAAGTTTGGTACCAGTGGTCCTACAGGCTTTGAGACTGGAATTGAATTTATTTCTGTCTTGTTTATCTCCTTCAAATAAAGAGATTTAAAGCAGCTTGCAATACATATGTAAGTATATTTTAAAAAGCGAACCTAAAAAAACACCTATACAAACACAACTTAAGCGAGTGAGATCTGCCTTTACTTACTCTGAGGCTGGGAGCACACGGGTTGGCGCTGTGGTTGGCACCCTTGCTGATGTCCGTATCATGGATGTGGCGTGAGCTGTGCGTGAGCTATTGTCTGTCTCTGGAGACTCTCAGTGTTACTCCAAGGCCCCGCTCAGTGAAATCAGTTATGGGGGTGATAGTTGAACTGCAAAGGAATGCTGTTCTCTGGTGGGGCTCCCATTCTGTAAACCCCCAGATCGCCCAAGGACCTGTACCGATCTGGCAGCATCCGTGAAGGTGCTGGTGGGCCATGCCAAGCCATATTCTTTCATAGTTTTTGGCCTCTGCCCAGGCTGATTCCTCTGCCCAGAAAGCTCCTGTTAATCTCCAAGTCTCCACTCAAACATCAGCGCCTCCAGGCAGTCTCCTTCCTCTCCGTCCTTCGCTTCCTTCCCTCCTTGTGTTCTTCACTGGTTGAGCCTTACCGTGTCCCAGCACTGCTCTGGAGCTCCCCATCTTCCCTCCAGCCCGCACCTGCCACACAGACCTTCCCAGCCCCTTCTCCAGCCATGCTGCCCCTTGCTTTCCTGCTCTCTCCGCACAGGCTTCTTGTGCTCCCTCCCCCTCTCTGCAGGACCTTTCCACAGGCTACATCTGTTCTCTGCCTAGTAAGCAAGCTCCCCACCCCCAACTCCTGCTGTCCCCCACCTTGACTGGTACTTCCTGGACCCCTGCAGTTGTCTCATTCTGCTGCCTTCTTCACAGTTATCACCTGGTACATAACGTCTATTTTGTGATTCCTAGATTCCCCTGTCTCCTTGACCACACTGTAACCCCAGGGCCTAGCGCTGAGCCTGACATAGAGCAGGTACCCAATAATGTTGGTTGAGTGGATGAAGGAAGACAGCCCTGAGGACCTCAATCTCTTTCTGCCTTTGGGTCAGTTGTTCTTGACCTTCTTGTGGCCATTGGCCCCTTTGAGAGTCTCCTGAAACCCTCTCTGCACAAATATACACTATGACCCTTCACAAAAAAGTGTCCATATTATTTCAACATTCAGACACACCCCAAATAAAGAGGGCATTGTCTATGAATTCCAAGCTTAAGATTCTTTTCTAGAGAGAGAAGCTGATGAATTGTATACACATATGATTTAAGCCCACCACATTTAGAGGTGAAATTAGAGGTCATCTTAAAGGCTTTGTGCATTTGGATGGCTTCCTGTAGATGCCAGGCTGGTATGTTTCCTTTAAGAACTCATCTTGCTCCTGTTGTTGCAGGAAGGAAGACAGCTCAGAGGCAAACACATCAAGCTGGAAAATATTACATCCCTCCCGACTGACCGACGGAGCAGAGGCGGCCACATGGTTTGCGACCCGCTCTAGGAAGCTCCGTGACAAGCCAGAAGACCACCTCCCTATCTCGTCACTCATGGGAACATCTCTACTTTGTATAACACCAGTCGGGGGACCGAAGAGAAGGCTGCTGACTGGCAGGAGCCCATAGGTATTAGCACAGGGTGGCAGTGGGGTCTGGAATCCCAAGGTCCTGGCCAGCTCTGCCACTCCTAAGCTGTGTCACTTGCCCAAACTACTCACCTTCCTTAACTTCCATTCTCCATTTGTTGGAGGGTCCTAATGCCTACTTGACAGCTTTGTTCTGACAACCAAAGAAGCTAATGGCTGTTGAAGTGCCCTGGACACTGTAAGATGCTTTCCACATGTCAGGGATCATTGTTGTGTATGAAATGTGATTCCATCTTCTCCCGTTCACATCACTAACGGTCTCTCTGGAGCACACATTACACTAACTGTTATGTGGCTGCCAGAGAAGATGGGTAATGTGGTGCATAGCAGGATAATGGTTTTAAAAATTTCTTAGTAGTTGTTTTGATATTATAGAGTTCCTGCAGAAGCTTGGGAGGTTCTAACCTTGTAGAAACTTGTATACATGTAAGCACTTCCCTAGGGAGAGGGACCATGCATTTCATCAAATTCTCATATGAGACTGGGGCCCCCAAGGGCCAAGCATCCCTAGAGAGAAAAGATCCCATTAAGGAACCCAGAGACCCAGCTCTGCCTCTAACTTGCTGATGACTTTGAGGCCATCCCTTGGCTTCTCTGAACCTCAGCTCTTCATCTGTGAAATGGGTGCAACCACATGCCTTCCAGTATCCCTCTCAGTCTGACTTCTGATGTGTCTGTAGCGGCTCCCTGCTTTGTGTCCTCCATCGGAGAGGGGACTCTTCCTGCCACAGCAAATACTGGGTTCCTACCGCATGGCAGGCTCTGGCCTGCTGGGAGGGTCCCAAGCCCGGCCTTCTGGCTTCCGGAGCAACAGAGAGATCTTCTATTCTAAACACATGTCACTTCAGACAACTGTGTCCACAGAGCCCCTGAGTAACCACCGCACCCCAGCGTGCCCGAAGCAGCGTCCCCATGCCAAGTCATTTGGCTGGGCAGATAAAGAGCATCATGGCCTGGAACACTGTGCCGCCATCAGGGGGTTTGTTCCCTCTAAAAACACTTCTTTGTCAATCACAGGATTGTGAGGCCATCTTACTTGGGCAGTTGGAGACTAACAGGGATATTGAAATCTAAGCCTCCTCCAGGAAGGCAGAATGAAAAGCAGAATGAAATGCAGCCTCGATGGGCTGAGTCCTTTCCTGCCCTTGCTGCTGTGGCAGAGGTTGGTGGCAGGAAAGCAGGCTGGTGGACGGGCTGCCCCATGTCTCGGACCTCAGCAGAGCCTGGGCGGGCTCAGTGAGGGTAAGCGACAGACTGGCACCATGACCCAGGGGACAGTCCGAGAGAGCTCTCAGTCCATAGTGGGCACATGGGCAGCCTTTGGCCCAGATCTTGCTCACAAACATGTTTTGTCTGACTCACATTTTTTTTAATTGTAGTAAAACACACAAAACATGAAATGTGCTAACTTAAATTACCATTTTTAAACACCTAGTTCAGTGGCATTAGGTACATTCACATTGCTGGGCAACCACCCTCACCATCCATCTCTGGAACATTTCCATCTTCCCAGACTGAAACTCCATCCCCATTGAACACTGCCCCCTATTCCCACTGCCCCACCCCCGGCAACCTCCATCCTACTGCCTGTCTCTGTGAATTCGGCAATTCTAGGGACCTCCTATGAGTGGGTCCTTCGTTTGTCCTTTGGGGACTGGCTTATTTCACTTGGCAGCATGTCCTCAGGCTTCACCCATACTGTCGTGTAGATGAGACTGTCCTTTCTTTGTAAGGCTAAATAACATCCCATTGAATGGATAGACCACACTTCATTTATCCATCTACCTGTCGATGGACACTTGGGTTGCTTCCACCTTTTGGCCTGTGTGAGTAATGCTCCTGTGAACATGGGGGTATAAGCACCCAGGTTGTATTTACTAATATGGGGATTAGCATATGATATTTGAAAACCAAGAGATCTCTCATAAATATCTGAATTTTCAGCTTCACTTGGAAAAATAGTGGATCTGGCAACTCAGGGCCCTTATATTTTAAAAAGCGAACCTAAAAAAACACCTATACAAACACAACTTAAGCGAGTGAGATCTGCCTTTACTTACTCTGAGGCTGGGAGCACACGGGTTGGCGCTGTGGTTGGCACCCTTGCTGATGTCCGTATCATGGATGTGGCGTGAGCTGTGCGTGAGCTATTGTCTGTCTCTGGAGACTCTCAGTGTTACTCCAAGGCCCCGCTCAGTGAAATCAGTTATGGGGGTGATAGTTGAACTGCAAAGGAATGCTGTTCTCTGGTGGGGCTCCCATTCTGTAAACCCCCAGATCGCCCAAGGACCTGTACCGATCTGGCAGCATCCGTGAAGGTGCTGGTGGGCCATGCCAAGCCATATTCTTTCATAGTTTTTGGCCTCTGCCCAGGCTGATTCCTCTGCCCAGAAAGCTCCTGTTAATCTCCAAGTCTCCACTCAAACATCAGCGCCTCCAGGCAGTCTCCTTCCTCTCCGTCCTTCGCTTCCTTCCCTCCTTGTGTTCTTCACTGGTTGAGCCTTACCGTGTCCCAGCACTGCTCTGGAGCTCCCCATCTTCCCTCCAGCCCGCACCTGCCACACAGACCTTCCCAGCCCCTTCTCCAGCCATGCTGCCCCTTGCTTTCCTGCTCTCTCCGCACAGGCTTCTTGTGCTCCCTCCCCCTCTCTGCAGGACCTTTCCACAGGCTACATCTGTTCTCTGCCTAGTAAGCAAGCTCCCCACCCCCAACTCCTGCTGTCCCCCACCTTGACTGGTACTTCCTGGACCCCTGCAGTTGTCTCATTCTGCTGCCTTCTTCACAGTTATCACCTGGTACATAACGTCTATTTTGTGATTCCTAGATTCCCCTGTCTCCTTGACCACACTGTAACCCCAGGGCCTAGCGCTGAGCCTGACATAGAGCAGGTACCCAATAATGTTGGTTGAGTGGATGAAGGAAGACAGCCCTGAGGACCTCAATCTCTTTCTGCCTTTGGGTCAGTTGTTCTTGACCTTCTTGTGGCCATTGGCCCCTTTGAGAGTCTCCTGAAACCCTCTCTGCACAAATATACACTATGACCCTTCACAAAAAAGTGTCCATATTATTTCAACATTCAGACACACCCCAAATAAAGAGGGCATTGTCTATGAATTCCAAGCTTAAGATTCTTTTCTAGAGAGAGAAGCTGATGAATTGTATACACATATGATTTAAGCCCACCACATTTAGAGGTGAAATTAGAGGTCATCTTAAAGGCTTTGTGCATTTGGATGGCTTCCTGTAGATGCCAGGCTGGTATGTTTCCTTTAAGAACTCATCTTGCTCCTGTTGTTGCAGGAAGGAAGACAGCTCAGAGGCAAACACATCAAGCTGGAAAATATTACATCCCTCCCGACTGACCGACGGAGCAGAGGCGGCCACATGGTTTGCGACCCGCTCTAGGAAGCTCCGTGACAAGCCAGAAGACCACCTCCCTATCTCGTCACTCATGGGAACATCTCTACTTTGTATAACACCAGTCGGGGGACCGAAGAGAAGGCTGCTGACTGGCAGGAGCCCATAGGTATTAGCACAGGGTGGCAGTGGGGTCTGGAATCCCAAGGTCCTGGCCAGCTCTGCCACTCCTAAGCTGTGTCACTTGCCCAAACTACTCACCTTCCTTAACTTCCATTCTCCATTTGTTGGAGGGTCCTAATGCCTACTTGACAGCTTTGTTCTGACAACCAAAGAAGCTAATGGCTGTTGAAGTGCCCTGGACACTGTAAGATGCTTTCCACATGTCAGGGATCATTGTTGTGTATGAAATGTGATTCCATCTTCTCCCGTTCACATCACTAACGGTCTCTCTGGAGCACACATTACACTAACTGTTATGTGGCTGCCAGAGAAGATGGGTAATGTGGTGCATAGCAGGATAATGGTTTTAAAAATTTCTTAGTAGTTGTTTTGATATTATAGAGTTCCTGCAGAAGCTTGGGAGGTTCTAACCTTGTAGAAACTTGTATACATGTAAGCACTTCCCTAGGGAGAGGGACCATGCATTTCATCAAATTCTCATATGAGACTGGGGCCCCCAAGGGCCAAGCATCCCTAGAGAGAAAAGATCCCATTAAGGAACCCAGAGACCCAGCTCTGCCTCTAACTTGCTGATGACTTTGAGGCCATCCCTTGGCTTCTCTGAACCTCAGCTCTTCATCTGTGAAATGGGTGCAACCACATGCCTTCCAGTATCCCTCTCAGTCTGACTTCTGATGTGTCTGTAGCGGCTCCCTGCTTTGTGTCCTCCATCGGAGAGGGGACTCTTCCTGCCACAGCAAATACTGGGTTCCTACCGCATGGCAGGCTCTGGCCTGCTGGGAGGGTCCCAAGCCCGGCCTTCTGGCTTCCGGAGCAACAGAGAGATCTTCTATTCTAAACACATGTCACTTCAGACAACTGTGTCCACAGAGCCCCTGAGTAACCACCGCACCCCAGCGTGCCCGAAGCAGCGTCCCCATGCCAAGTCATTTGGCTGGGCAGATAAAGAGCATCATGGCCTGGAACACTGTGCCGCCATCAGGGGGTTTGTTCCCTCTAAAAACACTTCTTTGTCAATCACAGGATTGTGAGGCCATCTTACTTGGGCAGTTGGAGACTAACAGGGATATTGAAATCTAAGCCTCCTCCAGGAAGGCAGAATGAAAAGCAGAATGAAATGCAGCCTCGATGGGCTGAGTCCTTTCCTGCCCTTGCTGCTGTGGCAGAGGTTGGTGGCAGGAAAGCAGGCTGGTGGACGGGCTGCCCCATGTCTCGGACCTCAGCAGAGCCTGGGCGGGCTCAGTGAGGGTAAGCGACAGACTGGCACCATGACCCAGGGGACAGTCCGAGAGAGCTCTCAGTCCATAGTGGGCACATGGGCAGCCTTTGGCCCAGATCTTGCTCACAAACATGTTTTGTCTGACTCACATTTTTTTTAATTGTAGTAAAACACACAAAACATGAAATGTGCTAACTTAAATTACCATTTTTAAACACCTAGTTCAGTGGCATTAGGTACATTCACATTGCTGGGCAACCACCCTCACCATCCATCTCTGGAACATTTCCATCTTCCCAGACTGAAACTCCATCCCCATTGAACACTGCCCCCTATTCCCACTGCCCCACCCCCGGCAACCTCCATCCTACTGCCTGTCTCTGTGAATTCGGCAATTCTAGGGACCTCCTATGAGTGGGTCCTTCGTTTGTCCTTTGGGGACTGGCTTATTTCACTTGGCAGCATGTCCTCAGGCTTCACCCATACTGTCGTGTAGATGAGACTGTCCTTTCTTTGTAAGGCTAAATAACATCCCATTGAATGGATAGACCACACTTCATTTATCCATCTACCTGTCGATGGACACTTGGGTTGCTTCCACCTTTTGGCCTGTGTGAGTAATGCTCCTGTGAACATGGGGGTATAAGCACCCAGGTTGTATTTACTAATATGGGGATTAGCATATGATATTTGAAAACCAAGAGATCTCTCATAAATATCTGAATTTTCAGCTTCACTTGGAAAAATAGTGGATCTGGCAACTCAGGGCCCCTCTCTTCCTGGCCACACTCAGAGTTGAATGAGGTCAGGCTGCTCCTTCCTAGACCCCGGCCCTCCACAGCCTTCTCCTGCCCTCATTATCTAATCTGCCCCATTTGCAAAACACTCTCATGGTGTGGGTGAAAATACAGGGCCCAGAGAGGCCTGTGGCCCTAGGCCTAAGGTGTCACGGTGGGATGGTGAGTGACTGCTGTCACCCGAAAAGACCTGTTCAGGGCTTTGCTAGCAACTCTGCCACTGCCCGCCGCAGTGACCTTGACCATTCTGAGCCTAAGTTTTCTCTTTGGCAAGGAATGGGAAAGGTTGGTATATCTTCTCCAGCAGCCCCCTGGAATGACTGTAAAGACAGAGGTATGGATACATAGTACCTGCAATGTGCAGGGCTGAGGGAGACAACTTAGAGTTGGGGCGTCTGTTTCCTCTTCTGCAGAATTGGAAAAGGGACTTTGAAGATTAACTGAGAAAGGGAAGATAAAGCGTCCCACAGAGGGCTTGGTGTCCAGCACATGCTCACACGTTACTTTGTAGCCAGGCAGGGCCACGTCCAAGGACTCCAAATCCCCTCAGAGCAGAGCCCAGCTGGAGACATGATGCCATGATGTCCTGGGGACAGGCTGCAGGGTCCACCAGCCTGAGTTCAAAGCCCACTATCCACCTATTACCTGCTGGGACCCCAGGCAATTCAGCTGCCCATCTGAGCTGCAAACCCCCAAGTTAAGTGGGGCGCTATCCTCACCAGCCCCAGGGGAGATAAGAAACGGAAGGTGCCTGGCATGTACTAGGTGTTCCACAGAGCTTATTCCTCTCCCTCCCTCCCTCCCCAAGCAGAAGTCTGCCTCTGAGATGAAAAAGATGGCATGTTTTCAGAATATTGGCCCTCACCACCGAAAAAAGAAGAAGAATGCTGTTTCTAGCCTCCCACTGGAGCATCCCAGGGCTCACATGTTCTTGGGGTTGAGGTTTGTCACTCACTGGGATTCATCCATTCATTCAACCGGTAAGCGTTTATTGAGCACCACTAGGTGCCAGGCACCACCAAAGGCCCTGGCGGTACAGGAAAGAACAGAGACCAAAGCCCTTCTCTCTGCAAGGGATTTTCTGTCCGCCAGGCCGCTGGTCTGTCCACACTCATTAAGGGCCTCTTCTGAGGACCCTGGTCTTACCTTCAAGGCTGCCTCCGTATCTGGGCACTGCCTGCTCCTCTGCCAGACCCAGATGGCACACTTGTCCTGGGCCCCTGGTCATGTCCCACCACTGGTCTTTTTGCCCACCTGTTGCTTCTGTACCTCAGTCCTTTCTGGAGGCCTCCGACAGGGGCCTCTGAGCAACTTGGAGGCCAGTGAGGCACCCGGGAAATCCTGAGGGGCCAGGTGTGGACGCCCGGCAGAGCCCTGCCTCTTTACCTTTAGGCTTTGAAC